GAGAGAGTTCACAAAACTTTCATATGATGGTGGTAGAGAAGCTAACAGAATCATGGCAGCATCTTCATCCTCTATCTTAACATCGATATCTCTTAATTCCATCAAAACAGAATTTAATTCATCAAGATGGTCCTTTAAAGGTGTACCTTCTTTCATGTGGAGACCAAATAGGCGCCTTTTCAGGAGAAGTTTGTTGCAGATGGATTTGGTCATGTATAGTTTCTCCAATTTGCACCACAAGCCACTTGCAGTTTCTTCATCAGCAACCTCATAGAGGACTTCATCAGACAGAGAAAGAAGGATTAGTGAGTGAGCCTTTTCTTCCTGTTCAGCAAGTTCTTCAATCTTTGAAGCAGAGGCCTTTTCTTTGGGTTCAGAAAGCACTTCTTGCTTCACAGATGTTGTTGCTAGCGGAGCCCATACGCGTTGTTCCTTCAGCAAAGCACGCATCTTGATGCGCCACAGATTGAAACTGTTCTTTCCATTGAATTTCTCGATCCTGATTGTGTTTGTCATTTTTGAGAGTTCTTGATCCCAAGTTCGTAGTACAAGCTACCAGAAAAACAAGATTAACAGAGTTTGATCTTTATATTCAGACGAGAATCTTGAATTCCCTTGATCGCAACTTGAGCTCTTGATACCAGTTTGTTGTGAATTTGAAAAGGACAAACAAACACAGAAAGTAATATACACCGTGACAGAGAAATAAAATGCGAAAGAAAGAGAGGAAGAATACAATGGTTTACGTGGTTCACCCAGAGAATTGGGCTACGTCCACGGGAGGAGCAGGAACATATTTTTATTTCTTAATGAAGTATACAATCCAGCAGTACAAAAGAAGGATTGCTTCGTGGCCTTTTATAACATGGGTCAGCTGAAGCATATGTTATGTGGATCTAAGTCAAAATACCAACAGTTTTCATTAGAACAAGGGAAATAATGGAAGACTGCTCAAATCCTAGCCAGTAGCCACTAATGCAATCAACTCTGCTGTCATAACTATTGAATGAAAAAAAACTCAAACAAGAACTTAAGATTAACATGTGTATTACCAAGGCAGGCAAAACCTGCAGCAGAAGAAGCCAATCCTGCTGCAGTAAGGAAGTTGTTGTATGAAGCAATGTGTACATGCAATTTACCCCAATCCTCCTTTATGATCTTGATACACTTTTTCGTATCCTCAAAATCACAAGCACGAGCACGGATCTCCCTTAAACAGTTTTGGAACCTTCCTCCAGAAACAGAAATCTCCTACACTAACCAACATAACCAAATTCCATGAATAAAAAACCGGAAGAAATAGAAAAGCACCTCTCTACGCCAGCCAGCATCTAGGCACAACTAGAAAACACAGAAATTCGAAACAAATCTAGAAACAAGAAGTTGCCATTTGTACACCAAGTAAGGAGCAAGTAGTGACACGAGATAAAAAGCGATGTAAGAAAATTTGCCTAACAGTTCGATGACAAAGCATTTGGAATAAACTATTCATCAAACACCAAAACGGGAACAAAAATAAAATGACTTAAGAAAATAAAATAAACCAACATCTCCCACGAGTTAAAATCACAAAAAAAAAAACTTCTGAAAAAGTTGAGACACACGGAAGAAGTTCAATTAATTTATTTCATCTCGTTAATTTATTTCCTTTTCTTCACTTATAAGTATGCGTTAACTGATTGGTCCAACATTGCTATTTAGTGCTAGCCTGATTGTTTCTAGTAGGGGTGATCACAGTTTGGTTTTTAGACAGAAACTCCTCTGAACCTATTAGGCTCACGAATTTAAACAAAACAAGATACTGGATTATATTAGAAACTTAATCTGGTTCATAGGCCAGGTTCAAACACATAATGACAAACAGAATGTTTCCCCCTAACAATGTGTTTCCTCCTTCCACTGAAAATGATAAAAAACTACCCTTCTCCCCTCTCTAACTTCCTCTACAGTATATATTAAATAATAATTGTTACATGTATAAAATAACTACCTAATAACACCAAACAATAACTACACTCCACTGAAACTAAACAATAACTGCCACGTACACAACTAGACTAAATGCAGTTCCTAAAATAAAATTCAACTTTATCACTCGACATTTAAATATAATGATCAAAATGAATGAGGATATAAACATAAAGCCCTCAACCTGCCAGGCAAATGAAAAAAAAGTAATAAGCATGAGCTATTGTGAAGGTGCATGCAGTACGGATTTAATATTATTTTGCCAACAAAAGAAAAAAAATAACAAGCTAATCATGATATTGAGGAATAAAAGTATGGCTTAATGTAACAATGCGATATGATTTGCCATGGCAGCCTAAAACATGTAATAAAATTACACTAGAGAACATTCAAACACAAAATGCCTAGTTTTGAAGTGGCGTTAATTTTCCAAACTGTGCAAAGCACATCCTTAACACTTTCTTCACAGGAAGTATAACAATTTAAAAGGATACAAGTAATCTCAACTTAGCAATAAGAAAGACAAAGTTAGGTATCAAATATGTACTATCTTCTGATAAAGTTGATTAAATAAAAACTATATCACAAGTCATCAACATTGAAATAAGGTACGCTCCATGCAATGCTAAAATTGAAACCAACTATATAAATCCAACATGACTTACAATTCTTGCACACTACAACAATTGTGCGCCAAAATTGCAATCAAAAGGAGGGAAAACAAAGGTTAGAGCATGAAAAGAGTGATCATAAAAACAAACAAGCAGGCTGAATACAATAAATTCATGGAGGAAGGAAAAATTATTAAAAACAAATAAGGTTAAATTGAGAAACTTCGCTCGGGGATGGGGGAATAATTGTTGAGTAGCTGAGAGTCATCGAGATTTGTTATTTTTTGTAAATTTCATCTATTAATAATATTATAAAAAAAAAATTGGATATTGCTTGAAATTTATTGAAAATAATAAATCTTAGTGAGATGCGAGAGATCACCAAGATTTGTAATTTTCAATGAATTTCTATAAATTTCATCTATTAATAGTGTTAGAGAAAAAAAATATTGGATATTGCTTGGAAAATTGAAAATAATAAATCTGAGTGAGATGCAGGAGATCACCGATATTTGCAATTTTCAATGAATTTCAGCTATAAATACCGATGGACAAAATATTTGATATTACTTGAATCTTATTTAAAATAATAAATCTTAGTGAGATGCAGAAGTCTCTGAGATTTGTAATTTTTAACAAATTTCAGGTAATAAAGTGTGTTAAGGACAAAAATTGTTTGAAATTTATTCATCATAATAAATCTTAGTGAGTTGTTGGAGTCATTGAGATTTGTTATTCTGTATAAATTTCATCTATTAGTTGTGTTAGAGGAAAAAATATTGGCTATTGCCAGAAATTTTCTGAAAATAACAAATCTTAGGGAGAAGCTGGAGATCACCGAGATTTGTAATTTTCAATGAATTTTAGCTGTAAATAAGAATAGATAAAATATTTGATATCGCTCGAATTTGATTGAAAATAACAAATCTCAGTGAAATGAGGTAGTCACCGAGATTTGTAATTTTCAAAAAATTTCAGGTAATTAAGAGGGTTAGGGACAAAAATTGTTTGAAATTTCATTGATCATAATAAATCTTAGTGAGTTATGAGAGTCACCGAGATTTGTTATTTTCTATAAATTTCATCTATTAATAGTGTTATAGAAAAAAACAAATATTGGATATTGCTTGAAATTTATTCAAAATAATAAATCTTAGTGAGATGCGGGAGATCATCGAGAGTTGTAATTTTCAATGAATTTCAACTATAAATACCGATGGACAAAATATTTGATATTACTTAATTTTATTTAAAATAATAAATCTTAGTGAGAAGTCACTGACATTTGTAATTTTCAACAAATTTCAGGTAATAAAGTGTGTTAGGGACAAAAATTTATTGATCATAATAAATTGTTAGAGTCATTGAGAAATTTATTGTTTGAAATTTATTGATCATAATAAATCATTGTAAGTTGTTAGAGTCATTGAGATTTGTTATTCTCTATAAATTTCATCAATTGATTGTGTTAGAGAAAAAAATGTTGGCTATTGTTTGAAATTTATTGAAAATAACAAATCTTAGTGAGATGTAGGAGATCACCTAGATTTGTAATTTTCAATGAATTTCAACTATAAATAGGAATAGATAAAATATTTGTTATTGCTCGAATTTGATTGAAAATATGAAATCTCAGTGAAGAGCGGGAGTCACCGAGATTTGTTATTTTCAACAAATTTCCGGTAATAAAGAGGGTTAGGGACAAATTTTTTTTTGAAATTTCATTGATCATAATAAATCTTAGTGAGTTATGAGAGTCATCGAGATTTGTTATTTTTTGTAAATTTCATCTATTAATAATATTATAAAAAAAAAATTGGATATTGCTTGAAATTTATTGAAAATAATAAATCTTAGTGAGATGCGAGAGATCACCAAGATTTGTAATTTTCAATGAATTTTAGCTATAAATAGGAATCGATAAAATATTTGTTATTGCTCGAATGATTGAAAATAATAAATCTCAGTGAAATGCGGGAGTCACCGACATTTGTAATTTTTAACAAATTTCAGGTTAATTATTTTAATTTAAATTGATGTGAAAGTGAAACTCGCTCAATAAAGATTGGGACCCACCAATGAATCTCAAATAACAGTAGTAGGAAGTGTGTTGCTACTTACTAGTATCTCTCATCCTAGATTTGCACAATCATCCTCATTGGCAAATTAACCACTTGTTAGTTATTAGTTGATGCAAATAACAGAAAGTTATCATTAGCTTTGTGACATTAGTAAGTTGCATACTGATAAAAAAAGACTTACCTTTCAGGAATTGAAGTCATGCACTGTCAAAGAATGATTTATTTATTTATTTTACTTCAATTTTGGAATTTCAAGTTATTGAAGCCAAATTAATTTGTTTAGAATTTTACAATTTCAAACCTAAGGTTCTGGAATTGGATTTTTTTTTTCTTTCACAACTAGATCTTCAGGAAGTGTGTACTTATACTTGCAAAAGTCCAAGCTCCAAAAGAAAAACAAAAACAAAAACAAAATCAATTTAAGATGTTGGTAATTTGAAATTGTAAAACCATACAAACTAAAACCATAGGCAGCAAAAAGATTATATAAATAGTAAGTGGTGACATTTTAGCACCAAGGAGTGGGATTAAAAGATATAGTGATACAATCTCTAATCAAAGGCAAATTCCATGCACGAAGTACGTGTTTCCTCTATACCTAAGCATCTTATTGTCTGCTCCAACACACCACATATGGCCTTGCAAATCTAAATGTCCTTTCATTCCAGCCATTTCCCACACAAACTTAAAAATCCCAAGCGCTCGGTCCTGCTTCACACCACACCCCACCGTCTTCTCACTATCTGAAGTCAAGATTCTTCCCATAAACAAGCAAAACTTGTCATCACTTCCATCTGCATAGACCCCACCACACATGTCTACTTCGATATTTGTAACCCTCCCATAGAGGTAATACAGTAATAGAGTGAATAAGCAACGAGACGAGTGACCCAACATTTTGGAAAGCTTCTTTTTCACTAGGCTTTCTTGATGTTGAGCTTCCTTATATCCAATACTGTTGTCAACTAAAACATCCCTAATGTGCAAAAGCCCCTCCTTCATGACCTCAGCCTTAGCCACATGCAACTTTAACATATTTTCACTTCTACAGTATTTAGTCAGATCATTGAACATTACAAGAACATCTTCCCATTTCTAAGGATCATAGGAATCAACTGTTTTTGAAGGAGAAAGCTTCATCCAAGAAGATGACTTAGGGTCCAAACAGACAGAAATTTCAGTAAGAAACTTCATGCAGCTTTGAACAATTTGGCCACCCAATAAAGCACCATTGTTTAAGCCCCGAGAACTCAAACAATTCAAATCTACTGCAAAACCATTCAGAACTTCTTTTAGTGCACCAGTCCATATGCAATGCTGAGTAACCTGTGGGCACACTCTTAAACAAACCAACTTCCTTTGTTGAGTAGAGACATTGAGAAAGTTGCCCACTTTGGTCAGTGAATCAACCACCATAGGCTCTCTTTCAGTTGCTTTACTAAAAGGGGTCAACGATTCATGTTGCGTGCTTGTGGTGAAAGAGGCCACAACATGTTTCATCTTGTGCTGAACAAATGGAGACCCAACAAACACACGGACAAGAGACTTGAAGGTACACATTTCACGTTCAATGCCATCATCAAATACGGTTGTATTGTTGTTTACATCAACAAGTCTCCCGTTAACTGTATCCACATTTGCTAGCAAATCGGTCAACTCTTTCACCTTGGGAAACTCATCCTGATACCATTGCAAGTTGAGAGCGTCTTTTGAAGAGTGATAAAATGTGGAGTTCAGGAAAAAAGCTGAAGACTTGTTGGTTCTAATAAAATGTTTTCCACTGTAAAGTAGCTCAAAAAGTCTAAGACCCATTATGCCGAAACTAAGAGTCACCTTCCAAGCAAGCAAAACAAAAGCACAGTGACCGAAAGAAAAGGTACCTATTCTTTTTCAGGCATTTTATCAAACACATTGCAGTGGCCCTGAAAAAATAAATGGAACGTTATAATACGGTTAGATAGCAGCATGATAAATTAATGAAACTAATTACCCTTGCAGATAGCTTTATATACAATCAGTAACTGGGCAAAAACGGTGATGGAGAATGTATGGTCACTGATTGGGAGAATAGCCCCACCAAAATACCTTGCAAAGCTAACATATCTTTGTTAGAACCATGACAAGGAGATAAAGCACATCGATACTGTCAGAGCCTACACATTTGGGTCCAACTACTTTGTGGAGGTAGACATTGTGGTATCAAAACAAATGTCACTAAGTCAAGCACACGACATTGGAGAGACACTTCAAGATAAGCTTGAAAAACTCCCCGAAATTGATAATGTTCACATCGATTTGAACACAACTCATAGGCTAGAGCACAAGCCCAAGGTGGTATAGAAAATTATTAGGCAATGATTGCTATGAATTTGGTTGGCATATAGATTTTCTTTTGTTCTTATTGTGGATTATTGTCCTTGTGAAACAAAAAAACAAAAATTTTTGGATTTAGCTTGGATATTCAATCTCGGGCAGGCATGGGTAACCAATATAAGAGAGGGAACAACCCATATATTATTAGTAGGGGTGAGAATTATAATATTCACTTCATGTACTCACGTGTCAAACTCACAGAATATGAACACCTAGGTTTAGCTTTAGCCTAGTAGTGGTGTTGGAATAGTATGTTTAATGTTGTAGATTTAAATCTTATATTGTTTGTCGTGGTAATCTCTTTTACTAATAAGTATAAAAAAATTAAAAAAAAAAACAAAAAAAAAACTCATGAAGCATTTATATTTTTTATTAAACCATTTGGTTTCTTATAATATTTAATTCGCAATTATGATCTTTAATTTTAATTATATAATTTTAGTGTTTTAGTTTTGTAAAATTAGGAATATTGATCTTATTACTAAATGTTTATTCACTAGTAGTTAAATTTGTATGTTAAAGATGACATGGCATTAAGTTGAAGACACCAAAATTAATATCTTATAATATTTAAATTAAATTGTATTTCTAGACCTATTTTTATACAAATTTTATAAAATTAAGAGACAAATTGTGAAATCCAAAAGATGAGCGTGGCTCATATTTTAATGAAGAATATATTTTGAGAAGAAAAACTACTGAGATGTGAAAAAATAAATAAAGGAATCATACAAAAAAAATAATCCATGTAGTGATATACTAATCACATCAGAAAATATAATCCACAGGGTCATGAGTGAATGTCTTTAAATTTATCCATTTTGAGAAATAAAATGTATATTCAAAAGGAAGACAAACAACAAAACATTAGAAGAACTGGTTAAAGCCAATATATATGGCTAGCAATTCAAATTCCCTTAAAGCAAAATTGCATGGTTACATTTTAAGAGTGAAGTTCTACCGCAGAGTAGCCAACTTGTATCACCTAGGAAATGCCAAGCTTCATTTCTTTGCATTGACCAATAGTGCAAACTAATGATCTCAGAGTGGCTGATGCTAACTAGACCAACACTTGCAAAACATAACACTAATCGGAATGAATCCAAACACTTCATATCCTTCTAGTAAAAGTAACACCAATAATTTCAACTCCCTCACACCACCAACATCAAGTTAAGCTAAGGCAGACATTTTGTTAGGAATAGAGGTTTGGATATTAAAGGTCCTCTAGGAGGCAAAGGAACCTATGACATGTAATGGGTGATATATTACCAGGAAGCCAGTTAGTAGAGTGAGTGGTTAGATTAGTTAGACACGTGTGACATTAACTTCAAGCATGCACGAAATTTTCACTTTCTGCCCATGAAAATTTTCACTCATAAATTTAAGATTTAAATATATTTCTAATCTTTCAAATTTAAGGTAAATGTATTTTAAATTCCTCAAATATAAATTGTTTTTTTTAGTTCCTGTAAATTTTAAAAATCCTATTTTAATCTTTCAGGTCACCAACAACATATAAATTACAGATTAAAACAATTATGTTACATCAATTAAATTTAACGTGATATTTTTACTAACAAAGGTATTAGTAGTGAGATTTTATGCGATAATATTTGATGTGAAATATGGTATTATATTGATGGATTTTGATGATACTTGTGAATCGTATGGTGTCCAATAATGATTATTGTATGAATAGATATAAATGGTGTGCATTTGACTGAGTATATTTGAGTATGAATGGTTTGTATTTGGATGAGTGCTATATGAATGTGATTGAATGTGAATGACTGGTAATTGAATGAGTGATGTATGAAAAGATTTGTGTATAATGTATTGTTATGTATGAAAATGCTTGTGTGCAATGCATTTGCATGGATGAGAATAAGAATGGATGTGGTAGAATGGTATGACCATCGATAGACGCATATGCATTACCCTGGCCTATGTGGTGTATAATAGAGAATGTATAATATATAAGTATGTAAATTTCATCTATTAATAGTGTTATAGAAAAAATATTGGATATTGCTTGAAATTTATTGAAAATAATAAATCTTAGTGAGATGCGGGAGATCATCGAGATTTGTAATTTTCAATGAATTTCAACTATAAATAACGATAGACAAAATATTTGATATTGTTTAAATTTTATTGAAAATAATAAATCTTAGTGAGATGCGGGAGTCACCAACATTTGTGACTTTTAATAAATTTCAGGTAATAGTCTTAGGCACAAAATTTGTTTGAAATTTATTAAAAATAATAAATCTTAGCAAGATGCGGGAGATCACCGAGATTTGTAATTTTCAACAAATTTCAGCTATAAATAGCGATAGACAAAATATTTGATATTGTTTGAATTTTATTGAAAATAACAAATCTTAGTGAGATGCGGGAATCATCGAGATTTGTAATTTTCAACAAGTTTCAGGCAATAAAGAGTGTTAGGCACAAAAGTTGTTTAAAATTTATTGAACATAATAAATCTTAGTGACTTGTATAGTCACATTGTTAGGCCTACTTGAAGACCACGTGAGTCGAAATTTACATACATGAAACTACTCGAAAAGAATATAAAGATAACACCTACCATTAACAGGGAAGAAACTTTACGCATTCATGCTCGAGATCGAAAAGAATTGGTTTCGAGTAATAAGTAGAATAATGACGTTCTTGGAGAAATTGAGAGGTTATCGAAGATTTCTTATGGTTGCACCGAGGTAGTCATTAAAGTGCGGATCAAGGAAATAAAACACGTGGGAAGAACGGTTAGAGGAAGTTACTTTCTAAGCCACGTATTTTACGTAGTGGATAGCGGTTACGTGCCCACGACACATGCATACGAAAGATAATTGCTCTCGAGAGTCTTTATAAATAGGAGAAGCATAGCCTTTCACAGGGGTCGAAAAAACTCATACTAGAACTGAACTCTCAAGCACTCTCCGCCTGCGCATATGGCTTTCGTGCAAGGAATTGTTTTTGGGTATGACTACTTCTCGGCCATTTTTCTTTTCTCTTTTTAGGATTAGGATTAGTGTAGCTTTTCTTTCTTAATCACGTAGCGTAGTTGTATAATTTTACTTCAGTCTGATCAACATGCTTCACTATTTTAATTGTATTTGATCATTATGCGAATTGAATGATGATTTGCATTGCCAATGTATGTTTTAATCACACTGTTCGTTTAAGTGTTTACATGCATGCAAATTATTGGTTGATTATAATTCATGAAGATTTGGAAACCAACTTTTGGTGAGTTTTTGTTGTCCACTTCCACTCTTAATAACGCAAATGCTTTGAAATACCTAAAATACCTAAATTGAAACACTTTGGTGCTAGTTCGAGTAAAAAGGACTCATAAACGAATTCCACCATAAACAAATTGGCACGCCCGGTGGGACGTGTTTAAATTACAAACATAATTGGACTAGTTTTAGGTATGCATGTTGTATGAGACTTAGGAGTGGAAGAACCATGTCTACGTCTAATAGTAGGAGAGAAACAAATAATGATAATCAAGTAGATGTAGAACAAGGAAATCCCAACCCTGATAATGTGACTAATGTTACAAGGGGGGCAACGTCTTCCCCTGTTGTGCTCGAAAATGTGGCTAGACAAACTAATGTGTCACAAGAACTAGCAAATATCACTAGGGAATATCCTTGGGGTATGCCACAAAATTGGCGAAATACCCAACCCGTACATGTCGAGATGCCAATACCTTATTTAGGGCCAAATTCACAAATGCACGTGTCTCCGCAAGGATATAATCCTGGACCAAATGGTTTGGGTTTTGTTATGCAAGACCCCTACCAACATGTAGGGACAAGTCATGAAGGTTCCCTGATTCGACATGGTAGTTATGTACCCACTGGTATTAGTAATCAAGCCATGATGGCTCTTCGACAACAGATGGACCATAGTAATCATGACATGGTCAATTTGTTGTCAACTCAAATGCATAACATAATGACTCCTTTGTATGAATTGATAAATAAAATAGGAGACAAATTAGGAGATGTTCCACCTTCGAGAGCTATGAGTGCGAATTTGAATGATATGGAAAATCTCGGGGGAAATGTAGTGTTTCCACAAAACGTAGGTCGACCTTATAGGAACCCTGAGGACAACCTAGATCAAATTGTAGAATGGGTACTAAACAGGCATGGTTTCGAGGTAGGTCGAAATGAACACCCTTATTTTGTGTCAGCCTTTCCAGATCATATAACTCAAGTAGAATTGCCTAGGGGGGCAAAGGTCCCAAAATTTTTGAAATTCGCGGGAGAATTAAATGAGTCTACGGTCGAACATATAGCTAGGTATCTAGTCGAATGTGGGGATTTAGCGAACAATGAGTATTTAAAAATGAAGTATTTTTTCGAGTTCGCTGACTAAGCACGCTTTTACATGGTTCACAACCTTAACTCCTAATTCGATAAACACTTGGGTTCAATTGGAAGGTAGTTTTCATGAACATTTTTCAGAGGAGAAACTAAAGTCAGTATAGTCGATCTAATGAACGTTAAGAAACAAAGCCATGAAACGTTATATGACTATTTAAATAGGTTCAGGCAATTAAAATCTCGATGTTATACGAGTATACCTGAACATGAATTAGTTAAGATTGCAGCAACACGGTTAAATTTCTCAATACGTAAAAAATTGGTAAATGAACAGTTGAGAGATATGGCTCAGTTAGCAGAAAAAGTAAGAAGGATCAAACAGATTAAGTTAGAAAATGAAAGATTAAGAAAGTTTGATAGGTTTGTTCGAAAAGAAAAGGTAGCCTATTTAGAGAATGCAGAGGTAGGTGATGATGCTAATTGTGAGATCTCG